AGCGGAAGCAGGTGGGCCCACAAGCCAGGAGCGTTCTCGCTCTGATAGCATGTCAGAATCCCAACCACTAGACCATTGGGATAAAAGGGCTTTGTTTGTGTAGCGAGTCCGTGCGCCCGTTACTGAGTGCCTCAGTAAGGAATTAGGAAAATTCCATACACTACCCCCCCCTTTAAGAAAGCTGGTCAACATCAGGCACGCGTCGGGGGGAAAGATAATCCCGTAATACGGAGTGGCCTTGTAGTGAGTCAGCGGGACCCACGTGTCATCTTCGCTTGTGCGATCCACCGAACGTAGGAGGAAATCGACGTGGCGTCCAGCCGGGGTCGCACTGATGCGATGATTCAGAATCTTCCAGGGCTGCAGTGTCGGGTCTGCCACAGGCCGAACACTTGGCGCGATGTTGGGGCGGGCGATGTCGGATGGCTGCGGAGCCACGTAATGGCGGAGCAAGCTGACGTGGAAGGCGTCGTGGATTTTCCAGTCGTCCGGTAGTAGAAGTTTCGCCGTGACCGGGGTCAACATCCGAATGATGCGGAAAGGTCCCACGTAGCGGGGACGCAGTTTTGCGGGTTAGGGCAGGCAAAGATTTTTCGTGTCCAGAAGGACCATCTGCCCGTCACGGAAGGGTAAGTTCCGTCGATGTCTGTCAGCGTAGCGGCTGGCAACGGTATTAGCCTTCCGAATGAATTCCGCTGCTTTGTCGCGAGCTGCTTGAAGTTCCGAGACGAACTGCTGCGACCGTGGTACCGGGTTGTCGGGGGTCGTTGAGGAGGGTACCACGGGATCTATCCCGTAATTGAGGTAGAACGGCGACTGATTCGTCGTCGCAGACGGTGCATTGTTGTATGCAAACTCGAGCATGGGGAGTGAATCCTCCCACTTGGTGATGTCGGGGCAGTTCGTGCGAATCAACTGCTCCATAGTCTGATTTGTCCTCTCTGTCTGTACGTCGGTTTGCGGGTGGTATGACGACGAAAACTGCAGGCGGGTTCCATACTGTGCCCACGTTTCCTGCCAGAACTTCGACGTAAATTTCGGGTCTCGATCGCTGATGATCGCCGAAGGCAACCCGTGTAGGCGTACGACGGTCGAGATGAAGAGCTTCGCTGTTTCTTCGGCTGTGATTGTCGTGCGGCATGGTGCGAAATGCGCCATCTTCGTGAGTCGGTCAACGACGACCAGCACCGAGTCGTTGCCACTTGCGCCAGCTAGCAGTCCGGTGACGTAGTCCATCATCACATGTTGCCACGGTCGTTCGGGTGGCTCGAAGGGCTGCAGCAATCCAGCTGGACGTTGGCGTGATGACTTCATCGCTTGGCAGATCGGGCAGGCGGGCACGTAGTGCTGCACGTCCGACGCCATGTTGGGCCAGTAGTAATTCCGCTGCAGCAACTTTAATGTTTTGTCGACGCCGAAATGCCCAGAGAGGCTGGAGTCGTGAACCTCCTGCGTCGGCAATTCTCATAAGGGTCGGTAGGAAGGTACCCAAACTCAGTTAGTACCGACTTTTAGGTAATAACTCCCATGCGCCGTAGTGACCCGTTGGTGTTGATTCGTCCTGAAGAAGTGATCGGTCCTGTAGCCGTGCTTGAATAACCCTGCCAATAAAGGGTTAGAATGGGTGATTAGTACTGATACGGTCTGCATCGATGGGCGGGTCAGGGCGTCGGCGATGTTGTTGGCGCCCTTTTCGTACGTGATGGTGTAGCTGAAGTTTGACTAGAGGTAATCGAGCCACCGGATTTGTCGCGGGTTGAGCTGTGGTTGGTTGCGCATGTACTGTAGTGACTTGTGATCTGTCCTGGTCGTGACGTCGGCTCTCGTGAGATAACAGCGCCAGGTACGAAATGCATGCACGATGGCGAGCATTTCTTTGTCATGTACAGGGTAGTTGCGCTCGGGCAGCTGAATTTTCCGTGACTCGTACGAGATTGGTTGCAGCCCGTTGCCGAAATCCTGTAGAAGGACGGCGCCGACTGCAAAATCGCTGGCGTCCGTCACGAATTCGAACGGTCGAGATGGGTCTGCAAGCCGAAGCACCAGGGGTGAACTCAAAAATTTCTTCAGCTCGTCGAAGGCCAACTGTTCCCTCTCCCCCCAAAGAAATTGCACGCCCTTGTGCAGAAGATCGGTTAACGGCCTGGTTACCCCCACCATGTTCGGTACAAAACGGCAGACGTAGTTAACGAAGCCGAGGAAACTCTGCAACTCCGTGATGTTCGTGGGCGGCTTCCACTCCGAAATCGCCGTCACTTTGCGAGGGTCAATTTTAATACCCTCCCTTGAAACCACGTGCCCCAGGAAATCTAGCTCCGGCTGTAAGAACTCACACTTAGAGCCCTTGGTAATCAGACGGTTTTGCTGCAAGCGCCGGAACACCTCCTCTAAATCTCGTAAATGTTGCTCCCGAGTCTTGCTGTACACCAGGATGTCGTCGAGGTAAATGATAACGTTTTTGTCCAGCATGTCCCGAAACACCCCGTTCATGGTGAGCTGGAAGGTCGAGGGCGTGTTTTTCAACCCGAACGGCATCAAAGTGTACTTGTAACTGCCGTAGCGGGTGCGAAACGCAGTCTTCGGGCAGTCATCGGCGAACACGCGAATTTGATGGTAGCCACCTCGCAGATCGATTTTCGAGAAGAAGCGAGCCCCGCGAAGCTGATCCAGCAAGTCGTCCACTCGCGGAATCGGGTAACGTGACTTGATGGTGATCCGATTCAGCGCTCGATAGTCGATACACATGCGCAGGCCTCCGTCCTTCTTCGGCGTGAACAGTATCGGGGCGGTGTATGGTGACGTGCTCGGCCGGATAAAACCCTTCGAAAGCAGATAATCTAGCTGTTTCCGCAACTCGTCGAGCTCCGGTTGGCTGAGCCGCCACTGGGACCGAACAGTTGGCTGTGCGCCAATTTCCAGCTCGATCCGGTGGTCTTCTGGTCGCTGAGGTGGCAGCCCGTCAGGCAGGTCATCTGCAAAAATTTCGGGATGCCTCCGAATTATGCTCGCCACGTCTCCTGGTACAGCAACGCAGAGCGTGTCAATGTTGGCGATTTTCTCATACGCAACTATCTCGTTCAGCTGTACGGCGTAGCATTGCGCTCCCCTTTTTATCGCCCTTGTCAGCGTTATCGCGTTGACACGTGTTGTCGTCGGCTCCGGCTCCGTCCATTTCGAAAGTGTCACGCGCCCCTTGTTGCTCAGCACCGTGATGGCTCCCGTCGTCTAGTCGATCGTTGGATTGTATCGCTGTAGCCAATCCCGTCCCAGCAGCACATCGCAACCGTCCAGTGTTGTCGCCAACATCTTCATTGAAAACCCGAAATTGTCGCCACACTTCATCCGAATTTTTCTCACCTCGTCCTTGATCGCCAGCGGTGTCCTGTCCACCAGTCGTGCGTTAATCTCGGGCAGACACCTGTCCAGCTTAACTCCGATTTTGTTTTGCCGTTGCCAGGTTGACGAGACTGTGGCTCGCCCCACCGTCAACGAAAAGTTTTATTTTATATCCGTTAACCCTCACCACGACCAGCACAGGGTTATCCACGTGTTCATCCACTTTACTCGTCCGGTTGTGGTCGATAGCCCGTATCGGTACCACTACTCGGTGTGGATGGTGATTGCCGGGCGACGGGGTCTCGTCAGTAGGTGGCCCGACTGCTACTGACTCGTCTCTTTTCCCAACCCCTCTCCGTCGTTCTTGTTCCCCTATTTCATCTTCGGGCAGTCTTTCCTCCAGAGGCCCAGTTGGTTGCAATTGAAGCACGTGTTTGGTGCACGTCTCGGCGCATCCACACCGTTGATTGTGGGCTGGCGAGGCGGTCCACGAAATTGAGTGCCCTCCCGGGAACTCATTCTCGCCCACTGCATCTGCACGTCCGTTGATTCAACCAGCTGGATGGCATCAATGAAGTCGCGTGGCCTCGTTCGTCGCACCTCGTACTGCACCTCGTATTTGAGGCCTGTGACGTATTTGTCGAGCCGTTCCGCGTCACTCATGTCGTCCACTTGGTCGGCTAAATTGCAGAATGTCGCTGTGTAGTCTTGGACCGATGTCACCTGCTTCCAGGCACGCAGCTTCATGCAAGCAGAATCTGAGGCGGATACATGCTCGAATCTGGCTCACAGCGCGGCGCCCCACTCCGTCCATGTGCGTATCGTAGCCACTCCGAAGATTGTAGTTGCTCGTTGCGTGACAGTTTTATTTTGACAGTTGTTGAGACTGTTGCCGCTGCATGCACTGAGGGCGCCACCGAAGCCATCGCCGGAATTTTCGCTGGTGCCTGTCGTGGCAGAGTTTGCGACTGTTGCCTCGGCGTTGCTCGTTCCTGTTGTTGCTGCCCTGGCGCTTCTCGTGCCTGTTGCTGTCGTGTCGCCCACTCATCTTCAGCATCAATCGAGCCATCCAGCTCATTAAACACGTTCTTGTTGAGTGACGAACTGCTACTTGCTTCATCCACGACGGGCGACTCCTGGCGCGCTTTGTCAAAACATGTTTATATTATGTTAGTGATGTTAGGCTGTAGTGGGTTACTCCCTATGGGGTACAACCCTTTGTTATGGTTGCTACTTGTACCACTCATCCTGCTTTAGTCAATCCATTACTGTTTCCTTATTTTGAAATGGTATTAGAGTAGGTACGTTCCTTAGGGCCCACCGAACATTCCGCCCTGCCCAGACTTGATTTTTTTTTTCCTGCCCTGCTGCCTAGCGCCAGCGCGCGCCTTAATGCCCTGCCCGCGTGCGCCCAGCTGCCATGCTACTGAGCGCTCTGCTGCCCTGCCTGAGCGCCGCCCTGTTCGCGCGCGCTTTGCTTGCAGCTGCACCGCCCTGCCTGCCCGCGCGCTCTGCACGCGCACCCTGCTGCCCACAGCGCCAGCGCGCCCTGCTGCCCAGCACGCCAGCGCGACCCGCTGCCCAGTGCGCCAACGCGCCCCGCTGCCCGATGCGCCAGCGCGCCCCACAGCCCGACGCGCCAGCGCGCCCCGCTGCCCAGCGCCTCAGCGCGCCCCGTTGCCCAGCGCGCCACGCTGCCCAACACGCCAGCGCGCCCCGCTGCCCAGCGCGCCCCGCTGCCCAGCGCGCAAGCGCGCCCCGCTGCCCAGCGCGCCAGTGCGCTCCGCTGCCCAGCGCGCCAGCGCGCCCCGCTGCCCAGCGCGCCAGCGCGCCCCGCTGCCCAGCGCGCCAGCGCGCCCCGCTGCCCAGCGCGCCAGCGCGCCCCGCTGCCCAGCGCGCCAGCGCGCCCCGCTGCCCAGCGCGCCAGCGCGCCCCGCTGCCCAGCGCGCCAGCGCGCCCCGCTGCCCAGCGCGCCCTGCTGCCTAGCACCCAGCGCGCCTTGCTAAACCCTAAAAAAAAAAAAAAAAAAAAAAAAAAAAACAAGAGGCGACGAAATCGTCGTAGGGTTGCGAAGCGTTTTGCATAAACAACATATTTTGTACAACTGTAATGTGAAGAAATGAGGAATGAATTGACTAAGGGAAAGTTGGGTACAAAAGCAAACCCTAGAAAACTGTACCCCATATGTGCTACCCCACTATAGCCTACAGTAGCTATGTCATATAAATCTGACACACCCCCATAGGCAAAGTGGGGGAGAACAAGGGGTCACAAGACCAGTCAAGCAAAGCAAAGCAAGCTCAGGGTGGATCACAAAGTCACCACACATTCCGAGCACAAGTTCAAGGCCACAAGGCCAGTTCACATGCAGGATTACATATATATATAAGGCTAGACAAGCAAGAGCAGGTGTATATATATATGCAACAGTACAAACAAGGTCAAGGGGTGAGCAAGTGAGGCAAGGTAGGCACAAGACCCAGCTGAGTACAGAAGCGCTGATGATCACAAGGCGCAAGTGCCTTGGTGAAGATATCAGCAGTGTTGGCCTCAGAGGCCACGTACGCAAGCCGTAGCTGACCACGCTGCTGTAGCTCACGAGCAAGGAAGTAGCGGAGAGCAATGTGCTTCGTTCTGTGCTCCAGTCTCTGCTCTCGACACAAGGCCAGCATGGCCTTGTTGTCTACGTACAGCACTGGAGGAGAACGAGGCGGCTCTCCGAGGTCAGTCAGCAGGTAGGTGAGCCAGCGAAGCTCCTGTGCAGCCATGGCCCCTGCGTAGATCTCAGCCTCACAACTGGAGCCGAGAACAGAAGACGAGCGGGTAGCCCGCCACGAAACAGAGCCGGAACCAAGGCTGAAGGTGTAACCCTGTGACGACCGCTGCGTAGCCTGGTCGTCAGCCCAAGAAGCGTCTGCGTGCCCAGTGAGGACCACTGGACTCTGCCCTCCAAGCACAAGCCCCATGCCCGACGTACTGCACAAGTAGCGCAACACCCTCTTCGCTGCAGCCATGTGCTCCGGTCTGTGTCTCCCAGGAGCAACATAGCGTGCAAGAATGCTAAGAGGGTATGCAAGGTCAGGTCGTGTGCAGGTCATCAGGTACATGAGGCAGCCAACAAGCTCTGGGTACGGGCCACTCGACTCTACGGACTCATCCGAAGGCAGAGCTGAGAGCGAGTGGCGAGTAGGCAGAGGAGTGGCCTGAGGCGAGGAGTACGTGAAGCCGAAGCGCTGAAGGACCTGCTGCACCATGTGTGACTGAGTCAGGGTAATGGTGCGGCGTGCTCTGTCCCGGGTGATCTGCAAGCCAAGGTAGCTGCGCAGTTCACCCAGGTCTGTGCACGTGTGTCTCTTCTGCAGCTCAGACTTCACGTGGGCGAGTCCAGCAGTGTCAGCTGTGGCGAAGACCAAGTCGTCGACGTACACGAGGATGTAGAACGGCGGCAAAGAAGTGTCGGTGCGCAGAAACAGCGACGGGTCGGCAGTAGAGGGAGCAAACCCAAGAGCCGCAAGTGTAGTCCTCAGTGTGTCGTGCCACTCACGCGGTGCCTGGCGGAGACCGTAGACTGGCCGCCGGAGGCTCCACTGGGTGCCAGGAGGAAAAGACCCAGTGAAGCCAGGTGGGCGACGCAGCCAGATCTCCTCGTGCAGGCTGCCCTGCAAGAAAGCAGTGCTGAAGTCAAGAGAGTGCAGCTCGTAGTCGCGGTGAGCAGCTATGTGCAGCAGTACCCGAAGAGTGGTCATCTTCGTGGTGGGAGAGAAGGTCTGAAAGTAGTCAACTCCCTGCCGCTGACTGAAGCCACGAGCCACGTAACGCGCCTTGAAGACAGGCGGAGAACCCGGCGGCCGCTTCACCCTGAAAATCCACATGCCACTGACGATGTTCGCCCCAGGCGGGGGAACCTCGTCAACGTAGGTGCCTGTGGACTTCCAGGAAGCCATCTCTGCGTCCATAGCTGCCTGCCACTGAGAGGAGTAGGGACCCTCTATCGCCTCCGCGTAAGAGCGCGGAGTCGGGATGTCAAGTGCATCCGGGTCTCCCTCAGGGGTAAGCAGTACGGACACGAGATGAGGTGAAGCAGCAGCCAAACACTGGAACTCCTCCTGCCTGTCCTCAAGGACGTCCGTGCCAAGGGCACACTCACCCTCGACGGACGGAGGACAGACAGACTCAGACTCAGCAACAAGACTAGCAGCGTAGTCTAGACGACAGCGAGCAGCAAAGTCGACGAGCTCAGTAACTAGGGCAGACGCAGCAGTGGACTCAAAGGAAGGGTCAGTGACAACAGTAGCAAGGAGACGCGTGACAGTAGGACTGGCAGCACGAAGAGAGTCCGACTCCGGGTCAGGAAGAGCAGGAAGAGAGGACTCAGGAGGAGAAGGCAAAGGGGCACGCAGAGGAGCAGTGGACGGACGCAGAGACATCCGGTGCGTGCCAGGGACAGGAGGAGGACGCTGACGCGAACCACGACCACTAGGGCGAGCAGCACGGACAGGCGACGCAGGGCGAGACGCAGGCTCACGACGCTCAGCAAGACCTCCAGTAGGACCAGTGTAGGGAGAAGGAGCGGGCAGTGGGGAGGCCGGCTGTAACTGTAACTGTGACGGGACAGGCTGTGGACACTCGAAGGGAGGAGGAGGACCAGTAGAAGGCGGGAGACCAAGAACCTGCTGAAGGAGCGGAACGAAGTACGGCCTAGGCCGCGCGGCGACTCCAGACACAGCAGGGACAGCACCAGTACCCCCAGCGGCAGCACCAGCGCCAGCAGCACCTCCAGCTCCAGTACCTCCAGCAGCACCAGTAGCACCCCCAGCAGGACCGCCTCCAGGACCGACAGCAGTAGCCTCAGCGCCAACACCCTCAGCAGCTCCAGCTCCAGTCGTACCCGCAGGCCCAGCAGCTCCAGTAATCCCAGTACGAGCACCTCCGGGACCCGCGGCACCAGCACCCTCAGCAGCCGAAGAACCTCCAGCTCCAGCAGCACGCCTCCAGCGCCGGGCAAACCACTCGCGCAGCTCCTGTGGAGAGAGTGGCTCCCGCCGAGACGAAGCACCCGGAGAACCTCCAGGCTCAGCACCGCCAGACGCCACACGAGCAGGCCCAGCTCCCTCAGGCTCCGCACCCCCAAGCCCAGCACCTCCAGGCGTGGCACCCCCAGGCTCAGCACCCCCAGGCGTAGCACCCCCTGGCTCAGCACCCCCAGGCTCAGCACCCCCAGTAGTAGCACCCCCAGGCTCAGCACCCCCAGGCTCAGGACCCCCAGTAGTAGCACCCTCAGGCTCAGCACCCCCAGGCGTAGCACCCACACGCTCAGCACCCCCAGAGTCAGCACCCCCAGGCTCAGCACCCTCAGCAGCACCAGAGTCACCAGTAACCTCGACAGGCTCGACTGCGTCTACCTGGGACACACCTGAAGGGGCAGGACCCTGAGGGGGGAGGGGGTCTACCGGGGGGGGACCTGGTACAAGGAAGAGCGGTGGCGGGGGGAGGGACGGAGTGCGGTAGGGGAAGAGGCAGTAGTAGGGGACCGACTCGTCAAACGTGACGTCCTGGGAGGACAGAACACGGCGAGAGGTGGGGTGGTAGAACTGCCACCCTGGCGCGTCAGGGGGGAAGCCAAGGAAGACGCAAGGAGCAGCACGAGGGGACAGCTTGTCCGCAGACAAGTCGCGGACAAACGCCCGAGATCCCCAGACACGGAACGCAGACGCATCGCCAACCTTCCCCGTCCACAGCAAGGCTGGGGAGGTCTCCGGCATGGAGACCCTGGGGTGAAGGTTGATCTGATGCGCCGCGTACCGAACCGCAAACGGCCACAGAAAATGGGGGGCAGCCGCATGCATCATGGACGTACGGGCGACGTCCATGACCATGCCAATGCGGCGCTCAGCAATCCCATTTTGCTGTGGAGAGTCCGGAAGCGTGAAGGTCTGGCGGATGCCTCGTGCACGACAGTAGGCTCGCAGAAGGCCAGAGGAGAACTCTCCACCTCTGTCAGAGTGCAGACGCAGAACAGGAAAGTCCGAGCCGAAGCTCTGCCTGAGCTGGAGACGAGCTGCGCGGATCCAGTCGATCAACACCTCAGTGACATCACCCTTGCTGCGCAAGGGGAAGACTGTGGTGTAACGCGAGTAGTCGTCAACCACCAGCAGGAAGTAGCGCTCGTGACCCTGTCCACGGACGCGGGCCGGGCCCCACACGTCCATGTGAAGCGTCTGCAGCGGGGCCTCTGTCGGAGGAAACTGGGAGGAGTGAGGGGCAGCCCGCTGCCGCCCCTCGACACAGGGGACGCAGGTAGGGCCAGGCCCCGGAGGAAGGGGAGGGAGGGACCGGGGAAGACCAGAGACAAGGACACGGGAGGCCATGCCTCGGAGACGAAGCAGGGAGGGGTGACCAAGGCGGTGGTGCCAGAGGAGAGTCTCGTGAGACAGGAGGCGACACGAACAGGGGGCAGACTTAGGACCAGACCTGGACGCTGCAGCAAACACCTGACCCGACGCAGCTACCTGACCAGACGCAGTGACTGGAGGAGACGCAGTGGTCAGTGTGTACAGGCTCGACCCCGGCCGACGTGTAAACGTGGCCAGGTGTCGGCCTGTCCGAGCGTCCGTGCAGTGGGTCACCCGCTGACTCGCAGGAGTGAACTGGTGAACCCCCGCATCCTGTAGGTCAGCACCACTCACCAAGTTCGTAGAGAACGAGGGGAGGTAAAGACCAGACAGGGTGCCAGAGGGGGCCGCCGGACACGGGAGGACAGTGGAGAAGTGAGCAAGGACAGGACCCCCAGAGGGGTCTGCCAGGGAGACCGCAACCGGCCGACTGAGCGGCGTAAGCGTGGTGCGGTCTCGAAAGAAGGAGCGGGAAGCACCCGAGTCAAGAGTGAAGGTGTGTAAGGCCTGAGACGACGTGGTACCTGAGAGAGCAGACTCACCAGCACCTGGGGCAGCAGACGCACTAGCACCTAGAGCAGCAGCCTCACCAGCACCTAGAGCAGCAGCCTCAATGCCCGGGTCAGGCGGAACACACAGGTAACAGTCACCCTCATCACTAGTAGGCAATGCATACATGGCAGTGAGGATAGCATCATAGTCAAGAGTATAGATATCTACCCGCAGCCGAAGCAGCTCCACCCAGTCGGGGAGCTCAGCCGCGTCGCCAAACTCCGTACGCCAGGCGTCGCTCAGACGGGCGAAGCAGCGGGACTCTGCGTGACCCAACGTCCCGCAAGGCTGACCAGTCC